GCCTCTCTGCGCGCCCCCTACCCACCCCCCCCCCCCCCCACTGATTTTACTGTGGTCAGCACCGTTCCCCCTCCCCAACCATCCAACCCAAAAGAGGTTCCCCGCCCCTGGCCTAAAGCCTAGGGCCTTTGTCTGCAGAGAGAATGGAAAAGCAGCAGCCAGTGGCTGAGGTGCAGGGCGTCCGATCCTCACGTTCCATCTAAACTGCATCACAAGAGTCATACCCGACTGCTAGGGACCCCCTGTCCTAGAGGCACCCACTAGCGCCCCGCAAAGAGGTGACAGAGCTTAAGAGGGTTTGATTAGCATGAAAACGTAGCTGGATCCATTCTGTCTGGCAAGAAACCACTTCTCAATAGGTGAGGGTGGGTGCCTATTGGGGGGGCTGTGGCTGAGCCCGAGATACGGGTGAGGGACCCCGCCCTTGGGGGAGGAGGCAAGGAAAGGACGAGGCTCTGGCTAGGTGGTAGTCGGTCGGTTCCTGAAGCGGGGGCTGGGGGGTGGGGGAGAGCACCTTCTTACAGGACTGTGCATGCAGCCCGGACTGTTCTCAGGAAGTCACCCCTATGGGGGTGTATACCCCCCGGATTTCCCCAACATCCCCCCAGTATTGTGAACTATGGTGCCATACAGCCCACCTTCACCCTCACGGTCTCACCCCTCATTGGCCCTGACACCCTCCCTTGTAAGTTAGAAACCGCCCCCCCATTTCAATTCCTGGGAAGGCTACTGCAGGCAGTGACAGCTGGGACCAGTAGTTATCACCATTGCCATCCGCCCCCTCCCCTTGTGCCCAGTGGTTATCACTAGTGCCAGTCCCCCCTCTTGTGCCCAGTGGTTATCACTAGTGCCAGTCCCCCCTCTTGTGCCCAGTGGTTATCACTAGTGCTAGCCACCCCTCCCCCCAAGCACAGACCCTCGCCAGTGTCACTCACCTTGGTGTGAGGCCCAAACTCTTCTGTGAGTTTCTTGAGCGGGCTGTCGTACTCCAGCACCATCTGGCCCAGCCGGGCGAAGCTGGGGTCACTGCAGGCAGACGGCAAAGGCAGAGATTTGGTTCATGCCCCCACAGCAAACTGACCCCAAGGTCCGGGTCACACACCCTATGGCAAACAGCTTCCTTGTGCCTGGACTCTGCACCCCTCCCTGAATTGCTCCCCAGTGTCCAGGCCATGCACTCCACAGCAAATGACCTTGCAAGTTCTGCTACTACTCCTCTCTCCTCCACATGGGCGCTACCTCTGGGATTTACACTCTGCCCTGTGGAGCCATCTGGCCCATGTTTGTCCTGCAGCAGGGAATCCCACTGGTTAATTGATCCTGTGGCTCCGCCCAGTATTGTGTGTGCCACCCTCTCCAGCACAACCCTTCCCCCTTCCAGACCCCAGTTCCCTCTCACCCGCTGCCCTGGATCATCTCGTGGGCGCAGTTGTACATCCCGATCAGGGCTTTGCGGTCCTCGGTGCGCGACAGCAACAGGATGACAGATGTGTAGGTCACCACCAGGTCCAGGTAGTTCTTGGTGAAGTCATAGTTCACGTGCTGTAGGGGGATAGCACAGCAGGGGGTGGCAGGGACTGGCAGTGACAGTGTGCGCAAGTGTGCGAGGATTTGCGCATGCAAGCACTGTGCATGTACCCCCCATAGATTCTGCCCCTTTGGGCACCTTGTCCATGCAACCCCCCCCCACACACACACACACACAGTCTGTCCCTACCCATGCACCACCCCTTGCGGCACCCTGTCCACACACTCACAATGTCGAAGTAGCACTGGCTGGCATCGATGGTGTTCAGCAGCTCGTACACATGGTCCTGCCAGGGGAAGCTGTGTCAGTCGCACCTCGGAGCCCCCAGCCCCTCCCCAAGCCCCAGCCCCAGTATTACCAGACTGAAGGCTGCATCAGCAGGGGCAGAGGGCTCTGCCAAGAGGGCAGGCAGCTTCCTCACCCAAGATCTGGCACCTACAGTAGGGCAAAGGCCCCCCAACATTTCCTACTGCTCCAGGAGCAACAGGGTCTGGTGTAACTAGTGCCCAAGGTGCAGTGGGCCTGGAATGAACCTTGGGGAAGGGCTCACATGGGTACCAGACTGAAGGCTGCATCAGCAGGGGCAGAGGGCTCTGCCAAGAGGGCAGGCAGCTTCCTCACCCAAGATCTGGCACCTACAGTAGGGCAAAGGCCCCCCAACATTTCCTACTGCTCCAGGAGCAACAGGGTCTGGTGTAACTAGTGCCCAAGGTGCAGTGGGCCTGGAATGAACCTTGGGGAAGGGCTCACATGGGAGCTAGGGCCAACCTCAGCCCCACACAGCCTCCGTGACACGGGCAGCACCTGCTCCATCCCTGGCAAACCCACTCAGACGGGTGCAAAGCAGGTGAGAGCTGGGTCAAGC